TTATTTAGATTTGAACAATTTTTAACTGATCTTTTAATTTCTCTTGTTAATTTTGTTTTAGTTAAATAAAAAGAACTCTAAGTTCATATTTAACCAAAAAAATAAAATAGTTTAAACTAATAATGGTCAAAATTGAACCAACTCGATTCATGCACATTTCTACTACCCATTACCCGGTCAATTTTAAAGTATGAACAACTAAGCGTACTACACAAAACACATTCCGCATATTCTTAGTTGTACAGTTCTAACATTCTTAGAAATTTGCATTATGTTTGATTTGTGTTATAAAAGGCTTCATAAATTGAGTAGAGCCATTTGAAGAAGTTAAAGAATGTGTCAACAATTAGACGAGAATTGTAGAAGTTTTGGGTAGATGTTGTAGGAGTCAATTCCTTAGGTGTATAATTGCTCGAGTTATAGTAAAGAGTTAAGGAAATTCTATTAGAGATAAGTTGTGATTCTCGCCTTCCTTCTTTAAGGAATTTTTCACGTCAAATTTCTATATTGATTTATTATTCCACGATTCTCTTCTTGCATAACTATGAAAAAAAACTAATTCTTCTAATTTACACGTGGCACAAAAATAACAATAACAATAACAATTGAAAAGCTACCTATATTTACTCTTCAAATATAGAAGACAACCAACTTCAACCCAATTCTCTATTTTACTCTCCTAAAAGAAGTTTTTTCTTCTCTACTCCTTAATATTATATTATTATTTTTATTTCACTTTTATTTTCTTATTTCTTAATATAAATCCTTCCTTCTTCTTTTTTTCAAATAATCACCCTATATAATATTCATGCAATATAAAATTTTATTCTTTTCAAATCCTTCATTTAATATAAAATTATATTTTATTCTAAATTTCTAAATAACATGAATTGTAAGCAAAATATTATATAATATACATATTAATGGACAATTCAAATCAAAGTAAAATCATTAGTGATACACAATTGCATAAGCATTACATAAATACTCAATTTTCAAGATTATTGTGTTGCTCCCAAAAATTCTCTATTAATATATTATAGAGTTCAAATGAGTGTTTTTATCCTTAATTTTTTTTATAACTAGCTAAAAATTGTTCAAACTAGAGATTTTCATCTACCACAATTTATGTTGTTACAGTTGAAGCCTCTACGATATCTTGAATTGGGGCATTAATATCACGCTCATCCTCTATTATCATGTTGTTTAGTATAATACATAGACTCATTATATCATGTAGAACTTTCTTTCTTAAAAAAATGTGACAATTATGCGATAATTGTAAAATGTGATTGCAAAACTCCGAATGAATGTTCAACACCTTTTCTAGCTACAATTCTTATTTCATCGCGAAATATTTCTTATTTTGAAAACGTGTATCATGAATAGGTCAGACAATTGTGTACCATTTCGGATATATACCATCAGCTAAATATAACCCATATCATTTTATTTTTCTTGAATAACATAATGGGTAGGAGGCGCACTACTGCTAGCAAGATTGGAAAATAAATGTTACAGTGTCATTTAAATTTTGTGCATTCATACTTAGTGAATAATAATAATAATAATTTTAAATTATATCACTTAAAATTTTGAAAATTAAAAAAAATGAAGTATTATTAATTCGGGGTGAAAGTAGTATATATTAAATAGCATATTCTTTAAAATTTTATATTACATGAAAAAGATTTGGGAAAATTACGTGTATAAGCAAACATATACTAGTTAATTAGTTAACATAGCTATAGTTTGCCTTAATTACAATCCGCGACTTACTTTTAGCTATAATTATGCGGCTCCGCTTTTTAGGTTTGTATAATTTGCACGTTTGTATATTTTGAAATTTGTATAACTTTTGTATAATTCGGAATGCGGATAATATAATTTGTATAACTATTTACACTTCTGATGTTTGATATTGTATAAATTCATTATTTCGAGCTTATACAAAAATAACTGAATTATACACATGTACCCGTCAATTATACAAACCTGCGAATTATACAAATTCGTGAATTATACAAAGGAGACAGCTTAAACTGTAGCTACAACCCGTAAATATGCAAATTATAGATATGAAGCATAATTAAATTTATTATAGTGGTTATTTACAAAAGTTCCCCAATTTTTTAATCAATATTAAAGATTTAATTAATAGTCTTATATAATTTATAATATGTTAATTATAAATATACTATATAATAGAAATAATCATATATATATATATATATATAAATCAGAGAACCTTAGGTCTGCCTACGTGGCGCCACCACAGACCAGAATTTCCTTTTAATTTATTTATTTCCAAAATTAGCCTTCACATTTCATTAAAAGTTGCGATTTTTATGAAAAGTTGCGACTTTTATGAAAAGTTGCGACTTTTATGAAAAGTTGTGACTTTTAAGAAAAGTTGTAACTTTTATGAAGAGTTGCGACTTTTATGAAAGGTTGTGATGTTTATGAAAGGTTGCAACCTTTCCGAAGGGTTGAGACATTTCCGAAGAGTTGTGACCTTTCCGATAAGGCACAATAAATATTTGTTCACACTACCCTTTGTTGTCTATAAATAGAGGGATTTCCTCTCATTTTAAAACAATGAAAATTATAAACTTCTTCTTCTTTTTCTACACAATTAAATATTCATGTACTTTGCTCCTGTTGAGTGGCTTACTGACACCATTGTTTTTGTATCAATACGTTGGTGAATAAAATCATTCCATCCTAAGAGGATCTAATTCTTTAAACCTCATGTATTAGAGGGGAATAATTTTCTTAAGGGGACACTGTGCACTTAGTGGACTTGATTTTTTCCTTTCTATTTCATTCTAATTTTACATATCCTGGTAATTTTTTTTTATAGTCATTAATTTATGCTTATGATATTAATTGTTGTTTTTGAGTACATGTTTTAAACTCTCTTGTTTATGTTTCTGCAAAGTTATTGTTTCCAGTTATATTGAACATATACACATATGGTAGGTATATTCATTGTGCAGAAAATGATTATTATACTCAGTTCCAAGAATTCGTGTTTTGATATTCTATTTAAAATTATATGACTTAAAAGTACTATATATAAGCTTACATATTATCTATTTTAACATAAATATGAAGTTTCTCACTTATCAATTAAAGAAATTCATTATGATAGTTCAAAATTTAAAATTGCTTTCATGTTCAAGCGTAATTTCTTTTTTTTAATCTGTTAACAAATTTTTGAATTTTTTCCTGAGACATGTATCACAATTGTATAATCTATGCAACTTAAATGTGTTCTTTTCTTACGAAATGTATTTGTATATATATTCTTATTTTCTTCTTTATTTTTCTTTTAATGTTGATAAAAGAACCAAAGATTTATTATTTCCTGAATAATTTATTCATTAGAGGTTCTTGAGTTATGTGATAATGACAAATAATCAAATTTATGTTGGAATATTGCTAATATTTGTTTAAATTATTTTTAATGTATGTATATTAGTAAAAGATTATTTGCAAGTTCAATGCAATTATTATTTATGACCGAGCGAAGCGTGTACAAATTACCTAGTATATATATAAAAGAGAACCCTAAGCCCGCCTACGTGACGCCACCACAAACCAGGATTCCCTTTTAATTTATTTATTTTCAAAACTAGTCTTCCCCTTTTATGAAAAGTTGTGACTTTTATTGCGACTTTATGAAATGTTGTGACGTTTTTGAACGGTTCTGACCTTTCCGAAGGGTTGTGACTTTTCCAAAGAGTTGTGACCTTTCCGATAAGGCACAATAAACATTTGTTCATACTACCCTCTGTTGTTTATAAATAGAGGGATTTCCTCTCATTCTAAAATAACGAAAATTATGAACTACTTCTTCTTCTTCTGCACAATTAAATATTTGTGTACTTTGCTCCTGATGAGTGACTTACTGACACCATTGTTTTTGTATTAATACGTTGGTGAATAAAATCGTTCCATCATGAGAGGATCTAATTCTTTAAACCTCATGTGTTAGTGGAGAATAATTTTCTTAAGGGGACAATATGCATTCAGTGGACTCGATTTTTTCCTTTCTATTTCATTCTATTTTTACATATCCTGGTATTATTTTTACAATCATTAATTTATGCTTATGATATTAATTGTTGTTTTTGAGTACAAGTTTGAAACTCGGTTGTTTATGTTTGTGCAAAGTTATTGTCTCCAGTTATATTGAACATATACACATATAGTATGTATATCCATTGTGCAGAAAATAATTATTGTACTCAGTTCCAAGAATTCATGTTTTGATATTCTATATAAAATTCTATAACCTAAAACTACTATATATAAGCTTACATATTATCTATTTTTACATAGATATGAAGTTTCTCACTTATCAATCAAAGAAATTCATTATGCAAGTTCAAAAGTTATAACTGCTTTCATGTTCAAGCATAATTTCTTTTTTGAATCTGTTAACAAATTTTTGAATTTTCCCCTGAGACATATATCACAATTGTATAATCTATGCAACTTAAATGTGTTCGTTTTCTTACAAAATGCTTTTGTATATGTATTCTTATTTTCTTCTTTATTTTTCATTTAATATTGATTAAAGAACCAATGATTTATTATTTCCTGAATAATTCATTCATTAGATGTTCTTGAGTTATGCGATAATGACAAATAATCAAATTCATGTTGAATATTGCTAATATTTTTTTAAGAACCTATTTTTTTTCATTATTTTTAATGTATGGATATTAATAAAGGATTATTTACAAGTTTAATGCAATTACTATTAAAGACCGCGCGAAGTGCGGATAAATTACTTGGTAATATAATAATCAAAAAGTGAACTAGAGAATGTGATTTAATTAATAATCTTATATGATTTATAATATGTTAATTATAAATATACTATATAATAGAAGTAATAATATAATAATTAAAAAGTGAAATGAAGTTTCTCTGTTTTTTTACTTTTTCTCAACAAGTGCAAAATTTTCTTACAATACGACAACACATTTCCTCTAGCACCAGTTACACCACCCACCCAACCCCACCTTGTCCCCCATCTCCGATCATCTCTGCAAATCTGAGAGCTACCGGAAAAAATGTCACATGGAGACACTATACCTCTTCACTCTTCATCCCAATCCGACATTGATGAAATTGAAAACCTCATCTATTCCAATCCTTCTACTGTCCTTCCAGCACGCCCTCCTTCTCCTCCTCGTGCTGCCATACCTGTTTCATCTTCTCCCTTCATGCCTTCTAATCTTCGCCCACCACCTCCCCCTACATCTACCACAACCACCAATTACAAACCGACACCTGTCCTTTCCATTCCATCTCCTCCACCCCTACCCTCATCGGGACAGTCGAATATAGCTGCTACCGGATTCGGATCCCCGCCCAATACCCTTACCGAACCCGTTTGGGATACCGTCAAAAGAGATCTGTCCAGAATTGTTAGTAATTTGAAGCTGGTGGTTTTCCCTAATCCTTATAGAGAAGATCCTGGCAAAGCGCTTCGTGATTGGGATCTATGGGGACCTTTCTTTTTCATTGTTTTCCTTGGTCTCACTTTGTCATGGTCTGCTTCTGTTAAGAAGGTAACTCCCACTACATTGTCATAAGCATTACCATTTTACTCAATTCTGTAAATGTTTTAGAAGCATTTCTTTTTGTGATTGTGCATGTTTTGTAGTTTTGATGTATAATATGTGTAATTGTAATTAACTCTGGCACAAGGGGCACTCAAATTAGATCACGTTATAGCTGAATAGAAATGATAATGTTTTGGAAATTACAAGTGCCAGAGGAACAAATGAAAGAACTAGAGTTTTATATATTGGGAAACAGCTGATCAAAACTTACATAGGTCAAAAGGATAACTTTAATACCATCAAATGTTTCAATATCAGGTGCATAAATTCTTCCAAGGAAAAACGAGAAGTGTGTGATTCCTTTTCTCTTCTGATATAATCTTCATTGTTTATGAAATGGACTTTGGATCTACTACAACCCAAAGAGTTAGCTCATGAGGGAAGGTCTGTCCCATACTAGAGATAACAACCCATTTTCTTTACCAATAGGTGACTAGTAACACTCCCTTGCCAGCCTAAGATTGGACATCTGTGGCGTGGAAAGCATAACATGATGGCTCAATATTGGGTAAACCAAGAATGAGGATGAGTCTAGCTCTAATACCATGTGAAGAAATGGATCTTCAGCCTAATCCAACCCAAAAGCTAGCTTATGAGGGATGATTGGCTATGACCATATAAGAAGAGCACAACCTATTCCCTCAATGAATATAGGACTTAATAGTTAACACTCCCCTGTATGACGAGGAGTCGAGGACTAGACAATTGTGCATGTAGGAAGTAACTAAAGCCCCATCCCTATGGCATGCTAAATATCTGAAGCCTGCCTCCATAGCTAAAATTCTACATCACCAAATGTTCTTTAACGTGTCTGTATATCACCTTGACAAAAACCTACTCATTGAATAAATGAATGCCAGCTGTCTTCATTTTACTTGCAGAAGGGCTAGCCAGGGAAAAGTGAGGCCTATGTGAAGGTCTCTCTCTCTTCTTTGTATTCTTCTAGGAGAAATTTGGGAGAGAAAGAATTATTAGTCAATTTAAATAGAAGTCTAATAAAAGGAACTCAGCTGAAAATAACTATTATGTTGAGGCATTATAGACTAATGTATTAGCTAATTCCTGTTTAATAAGCTGGAGAAATGCACAGATGCCTTAGTTGACTTTCTTAATGCCTTACATACATTGTTAAACTCCTCTTTTTGGATGTACACCTTCAATTAACTCACTTTACATTTCAAAGGGGAAAAAAAAAGCTGATGAAATGCACAAGCAGAGTAATTTTTCAGTTATGAACTGCCTGCACAAGCACAAACCAGTTATTAACCTCAAAGGAATCGTTGAAATATTTGCTTATTGACCATCAAAATTGTCAACAACAAATTAAAACAATATAACAGAACTTCTTATATCATTTCTCCTGCTTGAAGCCTGCCCTATCACCAGCCTTACAAGAAATGTAGTAGTAAAGATATACTTTGACATTGTCAGCTTTAGGATTAATTTGTCCCTACAGCTTTAATCTCCTTGATTGCTTACTTATAAAATTTCTGATTCTATGATCCAAAATAAAGATGGGAACATATGAACATATAGTGTTGGTGTGCTTGGATCTATAGTTTGGATAAAGAAGTTGCACTCTTACCACTAGACCAAAGTCTCGAGAGCTAGATGTGTAGACTATTTATTATTATTACATCCTTAGCCTAGAAGTGGAGCAAGTAATATGCTCCTAACTCTATCTATGTCTAATTATTGCGCAAAACTAGTTAATGCACCTAGTGAGGAATTTTTTGAAATTAGGATGTTATACAAGAGTTTCTTCACCATTTCATAGGTAGGTAGGTAGGGAGGGAGGGAGGGAGGGAGGGAGGGAGGGAGGGAGTTCATTTATAAGCTATATCCACCTATGTATACAAAGGATTCATAAAGCCAACTCTCACTAATTTGGAATTGAGGCATAGTTGTTTTATCCATAGCCTACAACTTCTTTGTTCTTGTTGTTTCCCTCTCATGTACCAACTCTCATTTGGTGTATTGCTAGGTCTCTTTAAAAATGGCTCTACTTTCTACATGACCTTCAGTAATTTGATTTCTGGCTGTTTCATCATCTAAGTCCAGCCCAAGTGAAAACTCCTTGGAATTGCCTAGATTTTCAACTTCTACTATCTTTTTAGACTATTAATTTTCAACTTCTACTGTCTAGCTTTATTTGCCACTATAGATCACAGTCACACTGTACTCATATTGATGGTCTCAGGCAGAAAGATGGGTGAATCTTTCTCTGCTGAGCAACTTAAACTAGCCATCCTCTTCAAAATCAGATGTCTTTTTGTGGACATGTCCCATGAACTTGATAGGATGTCTTGATTATAGTTGCTTGGTTAAGTAATAACACAAATCAGAGATGGTTGTATGTTTACTTTGTGCACTGAACTCCACCTTGCCTTGAATTTGTGACAAGCCACTTGTACCACTCAAAATCTCTTATGCAACTTTGACAAGTCATCTCATGGTGCACAATTAAATAACCGGGAGTAGAAACAGATAACCACCCAATGACAGATGCTCATAGAGCAGAAGTTACAAGAATTATTGTGGCCTTTGGATAGCTTGATTAAATGATAAAAAGCAGAGAAATCAGATAATTGGTGTAGAGAAGAATGTATAGAAGAAGCTGAACAGTTTGTACATTTTTTAGGTGTAGAGAAGAAGGTATAGAGAAAACTTCGAGTCCTAAACACAAAATTGTGCAGTTTTTGTTCCTCCCAATGTGGACAAATCTTCAGTTGTTTTTGCCTTTTTGTTGCTGCTATTACGAGTTGTCTCTTATCTGGCTTTCTGTGGACCCAAGGACAAACCATGAAGAGGTTGTATACTTTAGGTATTTGCAGACACATTAAATGAGATAAATAATCTCGACCATTTTGTAGACTATTGAAACCTGGTCAGGCTGAATCTTTCCCAAACGACACATTGTCTTGTTCATGAACCAAGTCTATGCACACATGCTCTATTTTTCGAGTTCTTTTATACTTAATGTAGTTGCCTATGGTTTTATAGCTGATTCACAGACTCATATTAATGCAGGTGGAATCCTTACTAATGGATTTATTTTTCTTTCTTATTTCTTTAAATTTTCTTCCAGTCTGAGGTTTTTGCTGTTGCATTTGCTCTGCTGGCTGCCGGTGCTGTCATTCTGACACTGAATGTTTTGTTACTGGTAATGACACTTTCTCACCCTATCACTCCAAAATAATTATGGTAAAACGAGAATAACCAAAGATAAAAAACACCCTAATGATGGATGTGTTAAATGAATTTTAAGCAGTAAGTAGACATGTGATAAAGATGCAAAGAGATATGAGATATTGAATGGATAGGAGAAAGGACAGCTAATTAGTGGATACATATTTAAGGAACACAGTCTATAGGCACTTATCGAGAAAAACAAAACCATTCTAGCAGCACTTGTGATGAAAGTAACCCAATTAAGTAGTCTTGTGTATCTAGGAAGTAGCATGTTTCCTTTTTGCAGTTCTGATGGATATCGAGTCAGGGAATGTATGTAAACAATGCTGCTACTTCAGATGGATTAATGATTTTGACATGCAGGGCGGTCATATAATCTTCTTCCAAAGTCTCAGTCTGCTGGGTTACTGTCTATTCCCACTTGATGTTGGTGCCTTTATTTGCATGCTAAAGGACAACGTGATATTGAAGGTGGTTGTAGTTTGTGTTGCACTAGCTTGGAGCTCTTGGGCGGCATACCCCTTCATGAGTACAGCTGTTAACCCTAGAAGGAAAGCTCTTGCCTTGTATCCTGTAGTACTCATGTATGTATCTGTTGGATTTCTCATTATTGCCATTGATTGATTTTAGTTGTGCCTACTATATGAGTGAAAGATGTATGAAGCCGTTACAAAACATTGAAGTAGGGATATAACTTGTTGGAGATTTTGATTACCTCATGAAAATTTGTTGATAATTCTGATTCTACCTCTGATATCTCACATTTTGTACTGCTGTAAGAAATATGTTATATACATCTAGTTATGTCTGGTGTATGGTATGCCTCAATAAGGAGACGTATTCTCTCTATTTTATTTCGTGATGTCAATGCCTCTGAACACTATGGCCATGTACTTGTGCCCTATGTTGCTTGGACTCTTCAAAACTATCGACAGATGCATGTCGGATCCTCCAAATATATTGTATTTTTGAAGGATTTGACAAGGGTACAACTTAGCTTGTGCCATTACTCGTTAGTGCAATGTGTCAAGATTTTAAAAGGTGAAGTATCTAAGCTCTGCACTCAATTTTTGAACCACAACTCTTATCTTTCTCAAGAGTTGGGCGGTTTGTCTCAATATGATGCTTGCTCAACTACATGAGTTATTATTTAAATAAGAACGATTGATTATGTGTCAAGTAAATTATATTATCCCTAATGAGAATTTATTAGATAAGAGTTGAGTATCTAACTACACATCGTCTTTCCTAGTTTAACTTGAAGCAAGGTTAGCTAATCCTTTGGAAACAGTCGCGAACAAGATTAATCAAGGAAATAAAAAACTCACTTTAGCAGCTTAACTTGAAGCAAGGTTAGCTAATCCTTTGGAAACAGTCACGAACAAGATTAATCAAGGAAATAAAAAACTCACTTTAGCATGAATAAAAATCATGCAAGCTTAAGCATAACAAGAGTTTGTAATAAAAGGCGAGGATATATAATTATATCTAACATTATTTTGAGCCCACTTCGGAGCTCCGACTAAATCTGGATTGCACTCTGCAGGTTCCGGTGCTCCCAATAGGATTTTCTCCATATTCAAGGCTCGAATTCGAAACCTCTGGTTAAGGGTAAAACACTCCCACCAGTGCACCACAACCCATGTTGGTACTCCTTATGACCCCCATAACATGAAGAGTGTATTTCACTCTCCAGCAGAACGTGAGATTAGCTAAAATTTACTTCTTTTTATACCGCGTGCACCGGGCTCAATATAGTACAATATAAAATAATAAAATATATGGAATAGAACTGCTTATAATTTATTAGATAATCTGTCAAAATTCTACATTAACTTGAAAATGGAATATCGACTTTCTTATTTGTATTTCTCATTGTTTTCCTCAATAACTAGTTTTTGATGTTGAGTTTACCGTAAGTTCATTTCTTAATGAAATTCTCATATTTTTAGTTGATTTTATTTTTAAAAAAAATTAACTCCATTGGGTTCATAAAAGATTGTGGGTAATGTATTTCATAAGAAATTGAAAATTATTACATTTTTCAAGCTCGAAAATTCAAATTCGTCCTTCAACTTTAAACTATAGATCTATCATTTTATATTATATTTTTAAATTATTAATACATTCTAAAAAATTTCACTTTACTGATAATATTATCAATTCTTTTTAATTCATTTTCAAAGAATAAAAAAGAGAATATTATTTTAAACAATTATTGTTATTATTAGAATGATAAAAAAGTGTGGAATGTATTTTTTCCTAACATATGTAACTATTTATCGATGATGGAGTTAGAGAAGAAGTCATGTAGTCTTTTAATAAGGGATGTTCCTTTCATCAATATATATATATATATATATATTGAATTTCCCCTTTTCTTCTCCTTAAAAATCTCAATATTTTATTTTTAGGTTTTAATAATAATTATTCTCTTTGTTTTAATTTGTTTGTCTTACTTTTTTGTAATCCGTTTAAGAAATAACGTCTCTTTCTTTTTTTTGCAACTTTTTACTTTTAACTTGCAATGTAGCATGTTTAATATCACAAGATTAAATGATACTTTGATATATTTTACATATCTTTAATTTGATATCACAGAATTTTGAAGTCTTTGTTACTTTTTTATTCAACTCTATATCAAATAAAAATCAAACTAACAAATAAAAGATAGGAGTAATTCTTAAAGTGAAGATTGATACTACTAATACTAAAATAAATGCACGTTATTGATGAAATTAGAAAACATTTGAAGTTTTGAACTACTACAAAATTTACAAAACTTTTGGCACATGGCACAATAATATATTTGGTAGAATAAGTACCATAAGGGCAAATTAGAGGTTTATGAATACTATCACTAAAACGGATAAAGATCACTGAAGAAAGTAGAATTGTTGAGAAGTTGGTAAAAAAGATTAGGAGAAAGAATTATGAAAGGTGAGGGCAAATTTGTGAAGGAGCAAAAATGTTTGTATGGAAGCTACAATGAGGTTCATTCTCCACCAGTAACAATGCTTCATTTTATCACATTTATAAAAGGAAAAACTACATAAATGAATCATAAAACTCAAAATAATTACATGTTCATAGCCCAATTCAAAGTAATTCAAGAAATATTTATTCTCTCAAAAAAAATTGCAGTCCATACCCCCTATTCATTAAGGCTGATAATTTTCATTTAACTTATACTAAATCAATATCATATATTGTATTGGTATCATCAAGACTGATAATTTCACTTAACTGATACTAAATACATAAAAATGTGTTGGCTTTTTTGCCCAACAAAGCAATAAAATAATCATGATAGCAGTTGGTACAAGTTAGTTATAACGATTTTGTTTGATAATACAGAGTTTGCCCCTTGGTAGGCAAGCAATCATGTTGACGAAGAGTTGCTTGTCGTAGACTCTTATATATAGTAGAAATAAGAAAAAATGTTACATTAAAAATATCTTTTATTACTTTATTTGTTTTAATTTCTCTTTTCCTTTTATCCATCTGGATTTATTTGAAGTTTTTTTTTTATGTTTCTCTTTATTTTTTTTTCTTCTAAAATCCTCCACTTCTACCTCTTTAACAATAAATCTCTTTTTTTCCTTTACACTGCTTATCTTTTATTTTTTCTTTGACAAAATGGCGAAATGAGTCCCCAACCTATTATTGAATTTTCAACTACACACTTATATTTCACGGGGGTCCTATTACCCCACTAAACTATTTAAAATTGAAATTATTACCTCCCTAAAAAGTACAACCACATTTATGTGGATCAGTGAAATCCACGCGTTTGACACATGTAATTTTTTATTTTTATTTATTTTCTTACCTTTTTGACTGATAATCCTTTCCTTTTTTCTTTCCTTTCTCTTCCTCCTTTTTCTTTAAATCCCTGAACACATCAATGCCATTTTTTCTTCACTTTTTTAAATTCTTTTTTGTCAAATCTAAAACTATTATTAAATTTATGGTTATAAAATAGGTGCATAAATGATAAGATTTATTGTCAATTTAATTGACCTAAAAAATAAATTGTCCGTCAAAATCTTTTCCGATGAAGATATTTTGAGAACTTTTTTTTGGAGATTTCCATCATTATTAAGTTATTTGAATGGATTTTGTTAACAAAAAAAGCTTGTTACAATAGCTTCAAGATGGTATTTCAATGGTATTTTAATGGCTAATAGTTGATTTTGAAAATGGGTGTAAAATAATTTCTTAATAGTTTTTGATTGTGTGAAGAGTGGGAAGGAGATTTCTATCTATGATTTGTGGTGGTGTTGATAGATATTGTAATGATATTGATTTTCAGATCGTGATGGTGAAATTTGATGGTTGTCATGAATGCTCTACTAAGTTGCTAAGAAGAAGAAAAGAAATTAGAGATGAGATAGTTGTTTTGGATGAAATCTATCCATGCCTTTTGTGTTATTTCCATGGTAGATCTATGATGATGGGAGTTATATAGCTGACAATTTCATAGGAGTTTCAAGTTTGGCGTGATTGAAGTTGGCTTCAACTTTATACCTTGATTTTTCCGGCATCAATGCGGCGCTGCTCAGGCATTGGACCGTCACTTGGAGCTCCGAGGAAGAAAGAAGCTTAGTATTCAATTTGTTCTCTGTAGCTCTTTTTTTTTCTTTTGATTTTGTTCGTTTTGATTTTTCAAAGTACTTTGGGTGTTTTTATTTGACTTTTTTTTGTAAAAAAAGAAACAAATAAAGGAAAAAATAAAAATAAAAACGAAAAGAATATTAAAAATAAAGCTTTAATATTTTTTTGTGGTCTTCACTCTCTCAAAGAGAGTGAAATACACTCACTTTGCCACGTAAGCATTTAGAGAGGTAATAATTTCAGTTTTAAATAGTTCAGGGGGTTAATAGGACCCGTAAAGAATAAGTGTGTAGTTAGAAATCCGGTAATAGGTTGAGGGCTCATTTGACCATTTTCTGTTCTTTCTTTTGCTATTCTAGCAACAAATTAAGACTCAATATATTTTCTAATTATTCACATTTGGTGATTTTAGGGGTAATTTACAAATTTTGTATTTTTAATTAGACTTGTGAGTTCAATTTTCAAATTTTGATTATGAGATGGATTGATTTGATTTTTGATGGATTTGGTAATGACATTTCATAGTTTCAAATAATTTAAATATAGTGGAGGCTTTGATTTTATTTTCAATGAAGGTGGTGTTCACAAGGTCGCCGGAGAAGGATGGAGAAAAGAATAAAAAATAAAATGAAGAATGAAAATAGTGAATATAATTAAAGGGGAAAAAGAAAGAAAAGGAAAAGAAAAAAGTAAACAAGAACACTGAATATGTTATGAAACTATAGAAAATAGTGAGAAGAAAGTAGGGAGAAGAGATAAGACTTATTATTCCTGTTGAAGTGATGATTTTACAATGAAGAGAACCCCTTTATTTATAGGGGAAAATTGACTTGGTCCCAAAGTTAGGGTTCCTAAATTTTTCTAACAGATAGACATTCACTATATTTATAACACTCCCCCTTGAATGTCTAATTCGTAGATGATGTGCCTCATTAAAAATTTTACTATAAAAAAAATTTAAAAAAAGAAAAAACTCTAGGGAAGGAAAATAGTACACATATCTAATAATATGTATCTAGGTTGCCTCATTAAAAACCTTACAAGGAAAATCTAGTGGGACAAAACCTCGTAAGGGAAAAAAAGTACAACGCGTATTAACTCTGCCCTAATGAGAACATCAATCCAGAGACT